TCTTATATCTAGCTTTTATGACAATCAAAGAACAAAGACATACTGCTAGAAAACAACGTTGGGTTTTAATTAGCTAACATATGACGCAATTGCTCAAAAAAAAAAATGACCTCCAAGACTTCATCAAACTCAACAAGGCTCTTTCTTATTCCAAAAAAGTATCTCTCTGCATTTACTTGAAGGTCCAAAAGCTGTAATTATGTAAACAAAATGATCTTAGCAAAAATTATTCATGATAATTACCAACAGAAGCAACAACAACAATAGCATTGATAACAAGGAAAAAATTTTATAAGACCTGTTTTACAACTGCACGACCCTCAATTGGTATGTCCTCGTTATCTGTTATCTTTGATATGAGCTTTATAGCCCACTCCGTATCAAAATTGAACTTCTGAAACATCTCATCCTGTAAACTGTTAAATGAAATGTTAATTTATTGATTCATCTAAAAGAAAACAATGTCACTGAATCAACAGACTTTACAAACAAAAATTCAGTTAATAATCAATGCTTCATAACGAGAAGAACAAGGAAGAATAATCTTAAGGATGAAGCTAACGCAACAATATCCAAGAAAAAATAACCAACTGAAAACTCATATCATGAAAGAGAAATTACTAAAATTCTATATTCATGACTCCGAGGTTCAGAACACATGAGAAATTACTTAAACATTGATACAGATCCATGTTAAGAAATACTTAGAAGAGGATCAAGAAACCAGATACTCGACACTCCCCTGGTAAAGAAACAGGGTAACCAAAAACACATAAGACGTCTAGGATACATAAACCTTCTCGTCATTGATTTATCAAGTTTTAAGAGACCAAATTAGAAGTGTTTCTGATCCATGGCTCAACAAACTCTTTCAGCTGGAACAAGGATAAAAGAAACATCATGTCGACTCCACATTCTCCAAAATGTCTTAAAGGATCAAAATGAGCTAATTATTGATATCGGGCCAGGAAAAAGCTTAACATATGGATACATCAAAAGAACTCTCGAAAGGTCATTCAACATGACAAACAAATGTAGCGTGCTCTAGTTGTAAATTACACTAATTGGGGAATAAATGGTGTGCCCATGTTTGTCCAACAGCATTGATTTGAGACCTTAAAGCAAGGACACATAATTAAA